TGATTGCAATGCTGTCAAATGTGACTGCATTTCAACTATGATTTCAAACAGATCACATATATAAAAGTATACATGTCAACTTAGCAAATATTTAACACGAAATACAACATACATCATACATGTATATCACACAAATAAAGCCCCGCTTACACGAGCAAATTTTATTTGACAAATTTCATATGTCAAAGATAATTTGCTCGTGTAGATGATAAATTTGTGACAAATTTATTGTGACAAATGCATTTGAACAAAAGCTAGCATGCTAGCTAGCTTTTGATCAAATGCTTTTGATGAAATGAAATTTGTCAAATAAAATTTGCTCGTGTAAACGGGGCTATTAAACAACACATATAAATAGAGACTGTAGATTAGACTTATGGACTTCTGCTAATACAAATTAATCGAAAATTAAAACTGGACGTCTAGATCGGCAAATCGGCGGCGAAGCGACTAAAATACAGGCCTTCGATTTAAAAATATAACTATACAGTATATCAAGTAACTTTCCGCACACAAATAAGTAAATACACAATAAACATACCTTTGAAAACAAATTCCATGTATCTTATTAGGTCTTTGGAACTTTATAAGTAGAAAATTTGAATAAATATCTTCCTATTTGAATGTTTGCTCCCAAAGGATTGAACTTGGCGCTTGGTCTTTGTGTGAACCAGATCGAATTACTACAACACGTGATATATTCTAAGCATGCTAATTGGTTGAAAATCTGGAACTTCCACTTGTCGCAAATTATATTCAGCAGAATTCAACTAGCAGAACATTCCACAAGTTCAAATTACAGATTTAGGCAGCAAATAAAAAATATAGATGAGTCGCTGACAATTTCTGGCTACATTCAAACGCCGCGTGCGATTGAACACATCGAAGGCGATACGCGGTATAATACATCAATGGCATCAATCTGACTTCGCAACATTCGAGTAAACCAAAAACGTAAAATTAAAAAAAAAAGACTTTATATCTCGAACTTCGTGCTTTTTGCGTCTGACTGTATTCAATACTTTAATAAAGTATAGCCTCCAGCAGAAAAACTCTTGGATTCTCAGGCACATTAATTATATATTGTAATAATTTACCCCAGATCCAGAACAATTTTACTCTTTTTTGGGAGTTAAAACGACCCCTGGAGTAAAATTAAGGAGTACAAATTACTCCATAATTTCTACTCCTAAAATCGAGTTTAGTTTACTCCTCCAGTGGAGTTAAATTGACTCCTGATGGAGTGAATTGTGGAATGCGCGCCGAAGTGGAGTAGTTTTAACTCTATTTTGGGAGTAGATTTTACTCCACAATTTTTACTCTCCCGAGTTGAGTAGTTTTAACTCCTATGGTGGAGTTAAAATAACTCCTTGAAATTAACAGTGCGGTTCTTGCAAGATTATCACGAATTCCCGGTAATTTTTCGAGTGTTAAAGCCACATTTCCATTAACTTGCTGCAAACATCCCATAGTTTCCAAAGACTGCACGGCATACATCAAAGTGTCATAAAACTCGTGAATTTTCTTAATGTTTACATTTGGTATGACCGGAAGTTCGAGAATTTGTTTCGTATACGCCTTTATAATTTCACTTTTTTTTCATATTTCTCTTCTAGCATAGTTTTGGCTCTGACATAGCCCTCACTAGTGAACGGTAGAGCTTCTACCGTCTTTTTTACATTTATGTCGAGTAATTCGCGTAAGTAAGCGAATTTTGTAACGCTTGGAATTCCGCTTTTGTCGATTGGTCTCACTGACCTGATTCCAAAATCTTGTCCAATCTTGATATGTCCCGTTAAACATAGTAATTGTCAACTTAGGTAGCTTCGCTTGTAGCTCGTCTTTGGCGCCGACGTTTTCACTTGAAAGTTTTAATTCAGATTTAAGTTTTATTTTCGCCTCATAAAGATCGCGTTCGTGGTGTAATTGTTCTTCTCGCTCGCGTTGTTTCCCTTCTCTTGTGATTTGATCTTGCCATTGTTGTAGTCGCTTAACTTCGTCGTCTGCCTTCGCTACTGTACTTTAATTTCCCCAATCCATATCTCTATCTCGTCAGGATCTTCTTTCTCTGTAATTTTCTTCGCTTCGACTTCTCCCTTCAGCAATTCTATCTCGGTTGTTATTGCCTCAAGTGCCGTTTGTTGACGTGCTATAGGGTGTTGGCTCTCTGTCTGAAGTATTTTCTCAGTTCTACTGGTTCGTCGAATCGACAATACTCGTTAAACGCCACACGACTGGGTATTGGTTTATCGTATTTTATTGTCACAAATAATATTGTGCGCAAATGCAATTTGATCTAAATATTGATATAAATTATATGAAATTATTAGCTAAATAATCAACGTATGTGCATGCAATTATTCATGGATCAGATTTCAACTTATAGACTTGTCACTGAGAAAGCACGCGTGGACGGCGTGGCAATATAAAGCAGTACAAGAAAATATGTATATCTAGACCGAACAATGTGGTTATTCATTTATTTAACTGTTAGTAAAGTATATCTTGATACTCGATCCAAAAGAATTTATTTATTGATGAGATGTGGAATTGCAACGAAGTAGCGAGATCTTTTGATTTCCGAAATATCGCCAAGACGCCAACTGTATCCAGATTGTTAACTATAAAAGCTTATAAAATTTCCTGAATTGGCCCTTGGCATTGCTGAAACTCAACAATCATGGTATATGTTAAAGTCTCGTTGTCTGTTGAAAATCTACGGTATTAAAATCATACATCAAAGATAACTGTCAAACGACAGTATACTACAGTATATTAGGCTATGTCTTTCAATGGGCACTTTATATTAATAGTTGTGTTTACAACATTTATAAATTTTATAAACAGCTTTCATTTTGACACAACTCACACAAGTTTAAATATTTTGCTTTATATATATTCTTAATAATACAAGTGAGATTTAAATTTTTTGCTTTGTGGAATAGAATACCGTTATTTTTTAATGGACAGCTTGTATCGTCTTTATCATATCCAGGTCCAGGATTGCTTGTAAATGCATATATCACTATGACACTATCAAATAAATATACAAATATATTTGAGAGCCTTGTTTTTAGAGTATGTTAATGACTAATGAACTAGAAATAAACAGATGATTCACAATGAAAACTTTCAAAATGTTAGTAGAAGTAGAAAACTCCAAAATTTATGTGTATTCGTATGACAGTCTGTGCGCGTCTGACACTGTAAATGTGTGACATATAGATTTAGTATATTAGGAAAATATTATGGTTGATAAAGACCAAGAAAAAGGCTAAAGCCTGACTATAATTACCGAATACTATGTACTAAATCCAAAAATTTATAATCACTGACAGACTTTCTCTGTTTAGCTAGTATCAAATGTTTACATTTGCTAATATTGGGCTCTAGTTCCAGACAATACAACACTGTTTCTTTCGATCTTATAAACAAGACGCGTAGACGTATACCAAGTAATTAAATCGGTGCAAAGCGTATAAACATTTGCAAGAAAGGACAAATCTAATGGCGTATTTTAAAAACACTACATAATATTATGTAGAAATGATGACTGAAAAGCTCATAAACGTTTGTTATAAAACCGCGCTCGAATGTGAAGAGACAGCATTGAATAACAACACGAGAGAGCACTGTGAGTACCGATTTGCTTGGTTTCTTGACTTGACTGTTGGTAAAAATGTAAGAATGTTGTTGTAAATTCAAAGCAAAGAAAATAATAAAAGATTAGCAAGTATTTTGAACTTAATAATTCGCAAAATTTATGTTCCTAACTGTTAAACAAAATATTTCCACTGGAATCATGTAATTTGATACTTTTCCCACACACCCTCGGGCGCTAAATTTTGGACGAGGCACGTGACCAGCCCATACCAGGGTATTTCGTAAATACCCTGGGAACGAGGTTGGCATGTACGTAGGGTTAAACAGTCCAAAATGTTCGGTATTTTGGAAAAACATACCAAATGACAAATGTAGATCGTTTAAAGTCCAATATCTTCTTTTATATTGATTGTATCCTCGCGGCTTGGCCGCGATTACAACTCTCGTTAAATATCTTTGTATGCTACAAATTGCAACAGTTTACGAGACGCGAGATGATGTATATGATCGTTTCCCTGGACTTGTCTTGTATCTGAAACGTGGTTAAATTCAAACGTTCCTTCCAATCTTGTTAGTCCTGATGGCTTTACAATAATTAGGAAAGATCGTAATGACTCGAGAGTGGGCGGTCGTGTTGCTTTTTTTTTGTAGAAATGATTGGAAGATTAAGATTTATGACTCTGGGACTGATTTCGAATGCTTATGGTGTAGCGTTTTTGCAGAAAATTCAGAATATTACATTGCTGCTGTTTATAATCCACCCGATCCTGTTTACAATGAAACTGATTTAATTGACTATTTGGTAGATACATGTGAAAGGATTATGTCTTCAGATCCAAATGCGAGAATTATAATTGGTGGTGACATAAATAAACTTAATGTAACTGAACTAATGACTCAACATTCATTGCAACAAATGGTAAAATCACCAACAAGAGGTGAACGAATTTTAGATGTATTTCTTATCAATTACCCTCTATTATGGAGAAAACCTATTGCGTTCAACAGTTTGGTTCGTTCTAATCATCGAGGTGTACTTATTCCACCCCGTATTACTACTAAGCCTGTGAGGAAAAATGTGATCTTTCGGGACGTGCGCGAGCACAGAAAGGTGCAAATGGACAGGAAGTTACAAGATTTGGAATGGGATATGTTTTTTGATTGTCAAAATGCATCTGAAAATGTTCAAAAGCTTAATGACATTTTAGGTAATATGTTTGATGAGTGCTTTCCTTTGATCTCAATCAAAATGTTGTCACGTGACCCCCCTTACATAACTCCGCTAGTCAAATATCTATGCAAAATAAGGAATAAGAATAGAGATAAGTATAATGACAGTCATGAAAATGCTATTCTTCAAGAATGAATTAACAAACTTATTCGTACAAATCAATTAAATGCCGTCCGTTGCGAGAATAGGAAATATAAGAAAGGATCTAAAGCATGGTGGGATACAGCTAACAGGATATCAGGTAGAAATAAGCAAGACGTTCAAATCAGTGCTATATATTGTCAATGCAGAAGTGATTAATGACTATTTTAAAGAGATCAATACTGATCCTAATTATATTACTCCTGAACGTTTACAAATTCCTGATGCAGTTCACGTTCCTGAAGTGGAGATCGACTTAGTAAAACATGTACTGTTACGTCTAAAATGTACATCATTTGGCCCCGATTGTTTGCCATTTTGGTTTTGGAGAGACTATGCCAACTATTTAGCTCCTGTTGTTACCCATATCTTCAACACCTCGATAAGAGAACAGATGGTCCCATCTCTATGGAAGTTAGCTAACGTCGTTCCTACTCCTAAAGAGTCTTCTCTTGAGGAAGTGAACCAGCTCAGGCCTATATCGTTAACAAACATTATAATGAGAGTATTCGAAAGAGTTGTCTTCAAGCAAGAATTATCTGTTCCCTTGAGCTTGGAAATAGGAGCTGACCAATTTGCCTACAAACGGAGTCAAAATTGCACTATGGCATTAATTTAGTGCTACCACAATTGGTTAGAGTGGCTGGATGGCGATGCTGATTTTGTTCGGGCCTTTACCTTTGATTTTAAAAAGGCCTTTGATTATGTCTCACATTACATTTTATCTGAGAAACTTAAAGCACTGAAAGTAAATCCCTACATCATCAATTGGATTATCGATTTTCTTTCAGATAGAAGACAAAGAGTTACGGTGGATGGGATAACAACAGAATATGTAAATATTAACAGAGGTGTTCCACAATGATCAGTCCTTGGTCCTGTACTATTCAGTATAATGGTTAATGATATTGGTACTATTTATGAGGAGAAGAGTTTGATGACTAAGTTCGCAGATGACTTGACTCTGAGTGTCCCGGTTAAAGCAAATGGGTTTGATCCTTCATCTGATGAGATTGCTGATATTCAGAAATGGTCGTTTGAAAACAGCATGTCCTTAAACCTAGAAAAAACCTGGGAAATGGTAGTACGAGGGGAAAACCAACAAATCCCTTCCTTTACCGATATCAGGAATTGAAAGAAAGAATGAACTTAAACTGTTTGGTGTAACTTTGAATGAAAATCCATGCAACTGGGACACACACATAGACTCCTTGCTTCAGAAAGCTTTCACGTATGTACATTCTAAGAGCCTGCAAATTTTGTGGTTTCCCAATGAAAGATCCAGAAATGCTATTCAACAGTCTTATAGTTTCACTTTTCTTCTACGCTATTGAAGTGTGGGTGGAGCATTTCAAAGTAAATATCTAAGTCAAATAGATAATTTTTTTAAACGAGCAGTACGCTATGGATACACGACAAAAGCCCTAACTAATAATATCCCAGCCAAACTTTTGAAAGATGCGAGTGATGCCTTGGCGCCTTTTTTAGTATTTATTTTTAATACTTCACTCAAACATGGAATTTTCCCTGATGATCTTAAGACTGCAAGAATTTCTCCAATTCATAAATCTGGTGACAAAAAAAATCGAGGCAATTATAGGCCGATTTCCATTCTTTCGATTATTGCTAAGTTATTTGAGAAACTTGTCTGTACACAGCTCAATTCCTTTTTAACTGAAAATAATATTCTGAGTTCGTGTCAGTCTGGTTTCCGTAAAATTATTCCACCGCATCAGCCCTTTTAGCAAATACGGATTCATGGTTACTTAACATGGATGCTGGGATGATAAACGGAGTACTTTTTCTGGACTTATGTAAAGCATTTGATACGATTGATCACGGAATTCTCCTAAGTAAATTATCTATCTATGGAATCCAAAATAAGGCCTTAGATTGGTTTAAATCTTATTTGCATAACAGAACGCAATACTGCAGGGTGAACAGTGCAACATCGTCCACCAGGAAAATACGTTGTGGGGTTCCCCAGGGATCGAACCTTGGTACCCTTTTGTTTTTATTATACGTCAATGACCTGCCAAATTGCTTGGATAAATCCTGTCCGGCAATGTATGCAGATGATACAAATCTTACAGTATGTTCAGATAGCATTAATAATTTGGAGGAAGCACTAAATTCTGAAATGAAAAATATTCACCAGTGGCTTCTTTCAAACAAGCTAACTTTAAACATCGAAAAAACAGAATACATGATCATTGCAACCCGTCAAAGACTAGCTAAAATTCAAAAAAATACTAGCGTATCATGCGGGGGGAAACTACTGAAACAGGTTTATTCCAAAAAGACTTTAGGTGTACTGATTGATGACAATCTATGTGGGAATGAGCAAATCGACAACATCAGTAAAAAGGTATCAAAGGGCATTGGTATGCTGCGCCGTGCAAAGCCATTTGTCTCTCTTGAAACTCTTAAATATATTTATCAGGCTTTAGTACAACCGAGTTTTGATTACTGCTCCATGGTTTGGGGAAACTGTGGCGAAGGTTCAAAAGAAAAGCTACAGAGACTACAAAACCGTGCAGCTAGAGTAATCACAGGTGATACCTATTAAATTCGCTCCACAGATATTTTAAAGAAATTAAATTGGAGAACACTCAAAGAGAGAAGAAAGGAGCAAAAATTAGCATATGTGGCCAAAGCCCTTTCAAACCAATGTCCTGAAAACGTTTCAACTATGTTTAAAATCTCAAATTCTGATAAATATAATTTAAGAAGTAATAACAAGATGCTGATGTTGTCGAAGCCTAAAACAAATTCAATGAAATGGACATTCGGATATGCTGCTGCTAAAGACTGGAACTATAATAGTAAAAATTTTAAATCTACTTAATTCATTTGTAATATATATATTTAACGTATCGCTTCGACCCAAACATTTCTTAGTATCTTTTAATATTTTTATAATAGTTTATATAATAGTATTTCGAGTTTTAATTTGTATTTAATAACACGGCCTAATGAAAAAAACCTTTATAATTTTTGTAAATACTGATAGGTAATATGGTTGATTAGTTACCGTGTATAAAGATGTTGTAATAATAATAATAATAATTAACGATAGAGACATGAAATTATGGAAATCTATCACGGATAATTCGAATCATTGCCTATATGACTTGCTTCCACCAGAAAGAACAAGGCAATTGCGAAACCGTGGACATAATTACATTTTACCACGTATACGCACTGAGCGTTTTAAGATTAGTTTTATAAACAGGTGTCTTTTTAAATTTATTTAAAATTGTATCAAATGTATATACTATATAAGAATCGGTCAATGTTGTAAACTCGCACGTTTTGTTGCGCAGTATGACTTTAAATAAAGACTTCTATCTATCTATCTATCTATCTATCTATCTATCTATCTATCTATTCTCGAGCGTCCGATTTCGTCGCAACTTTCCGATGGTCAAAATCGCCGGGATACCTGTACCCTATGGAATTTTAGCCCATGTGTCGATTCCGGGTGTTGTAATCCTTGGAAACGTGAATTTCATCAGTTATCGCAATGTCCAAGCCTTATATTGCAGTTAAGTGGCATGCGCTCCCAGTTTTCTATCAAATTTAAAAAGCATTAAAAAATAATTCCTGCCCGCCCGTAACACCGCGACTTTTCAAACACATTTCTTATTTTAAAAAGGAGAGCTTTCGAAATTGAAACGTCCCTTTTAAGCACAAGATTTTCTACTCCTGGGAATTTAAATAAGCTTCTAATGGTATGAAGGAGAATAACGACCTAAAACATTGTCAAAACAATTAAAGTTTTAAATAGCTTCGCCATGTATATGCATAAAATTAATTTAATTGTGTTTACTCACCCATGGGTTCAATATATAACAATGAAGTGAATTTCTGAAGGTTTCCTTTTTCACGTGATATTTTATCATAATTTAAATCAAGTGGGTCTCAGTCATTGAAATGAAGCCAACCAAAAGAACTAGGAAACAAAATGGCTGTCAACACATCTTATGTAAATTAGTTCTCCAACTATTATAAAAGCCAATATAAAGCAATGTAGACAACATAAATGCCCGCCTTTACCCTTGCCACGGACCCTTGCCACGGACCCTTGCCACGGACCCTTGCCACGGACCCTTGCCACGGACCCTTGCCACGGACCCTTGCCACGGACCCTTGCCCCCCATGTGACGTCATATAAAACCCCTAAATGAATAAATTAATATATTTTAGATGTGACTAGTTTAAGAACAAACATCATCGCTCAATTCAGAGAACCAACGTATGAGGTTTGCGGCCTTAATTGCGCAGAACACCGTTTCTGTGTCGCATTCAACTACAAGGAGAAGTCGCAGGGAAATGAATGGAACTGTCAATTAACAAATACGACTCGACATAAATTTGACAATAATGCAAGCAAAAAAGAGCGAGTTTGGACGTTCATCAAAGATAATGTAGACCGCACTCAGGTGGTAAGCAATTATATATATATATATTTCAAAAAACATTTGGGACAAAGAGAAAGCTTCCTGCATGATGATGTCAGAATCGATCTACACTGTTTTGAAATATTTTAATTCCTGGAATTTCTGAAAACATTGTATGAAGGAAAACTTCCCAAAGATAGCAATTCTAGTCCATGAATAAAATGCGCATAGACCTAATTATTCAATAAACCCTTTATTTGAAATTTTTAAATATAAGATATTTTCAGCAAAAATCAGGTAAACTTCTGGATTAGCAAGTCTATGTAACCTTATTTTCTCAGTTGGCCATACGTTTTGAACACAAAGTCCTATTTTTTCACAAGTTTACATAAAACTGTCTATATTTAAGCTTTGAATTACAGTATATACGCGTTGTTTGAGCAAAATGCACACAATAAGTAACAATTTGGTTAAATACGAATCCACTATTGCCAACAAATTGAAACAAAATGTTTCTGGTATTTAAACATTGTCGGTCTCTAAAATGGACGGCGCGTATACCTGCACATTTGATCATGCAATGAACTATTTCGCAGGCATCGTGCAGAGGGGAAGTGAATGAATGTCACAATGGTGGAACAATGATCTGGGATCCAGAGAAATCTTTCAACTGTCTATGTAAGAAGGGATACGAAGGAGAGATCTGCGAAAGTGGTAATAATAATGTTAAGGTGGTCGTCCACCCTGAAAATATTTATTTTCAAATTAATGCTTTTGTTTTCTTTCCAATGTTTGACATTTTTAGAAAAACAAAAGATTTCAGTCCTTACAGTGTTCTTTATAAACATCCGTATAATTTGTTTTAAAAAATAAGTTTTTCCAGTTATATTTGTCATCGTATTAAATTCTTCATTTCCATTTCGAACTGCAGACATTTGGAATATCTTATTGGTACGATTTGGAATATCATATACTAATATACAAGAAATATAAAAATAAGTTGAATCATTTACTTAGGATAGAAAAAAAACGTATTATAACAACCAGTTTGAATCGGCTAAAACAGATCTGAAGAAAACATGGAAACTTATTAATGAAGTTATCAATTTGAAAAATAAAAAATCTTCATTACCGTCTTTATTTAAATCAAACGGCGTGACAATTACAAATCCTATAAAAATAGCAAACGGATTCTGCAATTATTTCACTGGCATTGTTTTATCTCTAGCAAATAAAATTCTCCCAACTAATTGCACTTTTCCTAATTTCCTGGGACCCTCGATTAGAGAGTCAATATTCCTTAAACCGACTTCCAGGCATGAACTAAGAGAAATTTGCATGACTTTTAAAAACGGAAAAGCACCTGGCTATGATCATATTCCAAAGCATCTTATAAAAAAACTTGTTTGATCTTGTAACAGAGCCATTGACGCATGTGATTAATGTGTCTCTAGAGAAAGGAGCATTTCCAGACAAACTAAAAATTACCAAAATCATTCCTGTCCACGAATCTGGTGATTGAGATATATTTACTAACTACAGACCCATTTCAATTTTATCAGGTTTTTCTAAAATTTTGAAAGAATTATGTACAACCGTTTTCTAGAATTTATAAACAAATTTGAAATCTTATATTGTCACCAGTTTGGTTTCCGCTCTAATCATTCAACAAATCTTGCACTTATGCACCTGACTAACAAAATTGCCACTGCCATTGATCAGCATGAAATCGCGGCGGGTGTTTTCTTGTATCTTTCTGAAGCATTCGATACTCTAAATCATGATATACTATTCAGCAAGCTTGAGCATTGTGGCATACGTGGAGTGGTATGCATTGGATAAAAAGTTATTTTAATAATCGAAAACAATTTGTTAGTTGTAATAATGTTTCATCAAGTGCGGTGTACCTCAAGGTTCAATTTTAGGCCCACTGCTCTTCATTCTCTACATAAATGACCTTCCGAGCGCATCACATTTAGCTGAACCTTTACTATTTGCTGACGATACCAGTATATGTTACTTTCACTCCGATCCTCTGGAACTAACCACAGTTCTAAATGAAGCGTTACATAATATAGGTTTATGGATGCGGGCTAATAAGCTATCTATTAATATTCATAAAACGTATCATGTTATTTTTCAAACCAAGCAAAAGAAAACTTCATATGACATACCTATTTTAATTGCTGGTACATTGCTTGCTCGGAAGAAACAGGTTAATTTTCTTGGAGTCTTCCTAGATGAAAATCTTTCTTGGAAACCACATATCGGTCATGTTTGCAAAAAGATATCTAAAGCCATTAGTATCATCTACCGAGCTCGTTTCAATTTGTCTGCGAGTACTAAATTGTCTTCACACTACACCTTAATTTATCCATATCTTATTTACTGCAATATTATTTGGTCGTCCACATACCCTTCACATTTAAGGCGTGTACTCGTATTACAAAAACGAATTGTCAGGCTGGTGACAAATTCAGATTTTTACGAGCATACTGCTCCGCTTTTTATCGAACTGAATGTGCTTGACATTCATAAGATTAACTCGTTATACGTTGGAAAATTCATGTATTCCTATCATAACAAGCTACTACCTTAATCTTTCCACAACTTATTTATTACTAGTAATCAAATTCATCAATACAACACAAGAAACGCTAGTCAATATCGATCACATCTTTGTAGAACTAACATAAAACAGTTCACCATACATTACCATGATCATGATCTACATAATGCGCCAAGATGGCTGCCAGTTCATATTTTAAAGTCTGTATTCTAGTTGCGATATTTGCTTTGCCGAAATGTAATTCGTGGCTACAATGGGCTAATGTTGTTCATAAAGATTCTTATTTTACTGATCTTTATGGATTGAATGAGGATGGCTCGGCAGTACGAATTTATGGCGATTTTTTCGTACAACGTTTTGGTGTAAATTTTCAACGTATTAACTTGGAAAGGAAATTTAGAGTCCCGGTTTCTGTCAATAAGTATACAAAGCGTGGTTCTACATGTCTTATTCTCTGCTCGAAACCTTTTAAGATGGATTTATCGGTTCATGTTGATGTTGCTATAAACCCAGGGCCTTATAACCCTCAAGTTAAGTCAATTCAAGCCAGAAATTACCTGCGAGTATGCTGTGTTCAAAGTCCGATACGCTTGGCTAACCCATCGTTTAATGCGAAGATTACTTATTCTAAACAGCAATTATTTACTTGCCGATCACGTCTATCTATTCCTAAAACACTTTTTATGTCACTGAAAGAACTCGGGATATTAAAGGCTCGTCGTGTTCGTGCTGGTTTGTCTGCAAAATCTAAAACTCGTGCTATACCTGTTATTTGTGGTACAAGAGGGGCCTTGAAATCAATTTATTGTAGATCGAACTCTCATTGTGGTATAAACAAAAATAACTTGATATATGCTAGTTTGGATTGCTCATCTCCATCGTTGGATAGACTTCCCGCTACATTATCGCTGTCGCTGTGTTTATGGAATGCAAGATCAATTGGAAGTAAGACTGGATGTTTCCTTGATTTCATCTCTGAATATCGCCCTGATATCTTTGCCCTCACGGAAACATGGCTCTCGCCTAATGATCAGGTTACCAGAGCAGCAATTACTCCAGCTGGCTACAAGCTCATGGACTGTCCTAGAAATGACAGAATGGGCGGAGGCACTGGTTTGCTATATAGTGAAAATATTGTTGTTCAAGAGGTTGATTCAGGTGCGTTAAACTCATTTGAATTCTCTGAATACGTGGTCAAACATGTAAATAATAACTTCCGTATCTGTATAATCTATCGCCCACCATATTCTGTTGCACATCCAGTTACTAATCAATCATTCTTCCAACAGTTTAGTGGATATTTGGAAACTGTCATACTTTCACCTGAACCATTGCTAATTTGTGGGGATTTTAACATTCACGTGGAGATTGCAGATAATCCTGATGCTGTTACATTTCTGGATATGCTTGAATCAATGGCTTTAAAACAGTATGTTAACTTTTCGACCCATGAACATGGCCACACATTAGCTCTTATCATAACACGTTCATCAGATTCTATTATTTTGAACGAACCAAAACTGGGCCCCTTTCTTTCTGACCATTGTATTATAAATTGCCACCTTAATGCAAGAAAAGCTAAACCTACAACTAAGCAAGTTACATTTAGACGGACCAAAGCTATTAACATTGAGACTTTCAAAACTGAGCTATTAGCATCTGATTTGATTGTTAATACCCCCTCATGCCTGGATGAAATAGTTGGTTTATACAATTCTACTCTGGAATCCATGTTGGATAAATTTGCTCCAGCTATTTCGAAGACAGTAGTGATTCGTCCATCGGTCCCTTGGTTCAATGATGACATTAGGGGGGCAAAACGCGCTAGACGCTCTGCCGAACGTAAGTGGAGGTCATCCAATGCTCTCTGTGATCTAATGGAGTATAGAGTTAAAAGAAATAACTTGAATTTTGTAATGAAACAAGCGCGAACTAATTATTATCGAAATCTTATTGAGGAAAATGGCAGTGATCAACGTAAACTTTTTAAGTTGTCTAAGGAGCTTTTAAATCTGAATCCGAAACAGCTTTTTCCTCAACACTCAGATAACTACATTTTGGCTAACTCTATTGGTTCATTTTTTACTGAGAAAATAACGAAAATCAGATCTGAATTGGATTCAAGACCCTTGTCATGTGATGATTTACCATCTACCAGCGCCAGTCCTAATGCTACATTGACCAATTTTGAACTTTTGAGTGAGACACAGATTCGGAATCTTGCTGTTTCTTCGGTGAGAGGATCGTTTATTTTAGACCCGATCCCTGCTTCTCTGTTCAATGAGAGCTCCGATGTGTTGCTGCCTTTGATTACTACAATGGTGAATCTGTCTTTGCAATCCGGCTGTTTTCCAGATATATGGAAAATAGCAATCTTGAAACCATTGCTTAAGAAACGAGATTTAGATCCGGTCTTTGGGAATCTTCGACCAATTAGCAATTTATCCTCCATATCCAAGCTGACAGAACGTGCAGTTGTTGATCAAGTTCAATGCTATCTGACTACAAACAGTCTCTATCCTTTATTACAATCGGCTTATAGAAAATATCACAGTACTGAAACGGCCTTGTTAAAAGTAAAGAACGATTTGTTAATGAATATGAACAAGGGTCATGTGTCAATATTGGTTTTGCTTGATATGAGCTCAGCCTTTGACACCGTAGATCACGAGATCCTGATCCAAAGACTTGAGACAAAGTTTGGTTTTAAAGGTACTGTTCTTGCATGATTTTCATCTTACCTTAATGGACGACAGCAGAGGGTCTTGGTAAATGACTCACTTTCTGATATCTTTGAGTTGAATTGTGGAGTTCCACAAGGATCGTGTCTTGGCCCTTTGTTGTTTACTCTATATGCTAGTGAAATATTTGATATTATTGAGCGTCATCTCCCTGATATACACGCATATGCTGACGATTCCCAGTTGTATATATCATTTAATCCTAATAGCGTCAATGATCAAGAAGCAGCTATCCTTGCAATCCAACAATGCATTGATGAGTTGCATTTATGGATGACTCGTGACAAGCTGATGTTTAATGATGGAAAAACAGAAATTATTTTAGTTGGCACATCTCAGCAGTTAAAGAAGGTTGGAATTAATACAATGAAAATTTGTAACATAGAAATTACACCAGTTGATGTGGTCAGAGATCTAGGTGTTTGGCTCGATTCAAGACTTAGAATGGACACTCATGTTACTAAGATTTGCAGTGCTGCCTTTTATCATCTCTATAACATCAGACGAATTAGGAAATTTCTGAGCAAGATCCACACTGAAACACTTATACACGCATTTGTGACATGTAGATTGGACTACTGTAATAGCCTCCTGTATGGACTTCCTGATACCCTCATTTCAAAGCTTGAACGTGTACAGAATGCATGTGTTCGTCTAGTTTATCATGCCCCTAAACAATGTCACATTACACCATTTTTGCAGGACCTCCATTGGTTACCTGTTAAAATGAGGATTATGTTTAAGATTTTGCTCCTTACATTTAAAGCTCTTCATCAGCTGGCTCCATCATATTTATCGGAACTTATCACAATTACCACGCCTGGTCGTTACAATTTACGTACGTCTAACAATGGCCTTTTATTATCTCATCCTCGGGGTAAATCAAAGAAAACGCTTGGTGATCGATCGTTCATGGTTGCTGCGCCAACATTATGGAACAGCCTTCCAGCCAAGATTAGGGACATACAACAGTTAACTCATTTTAAATCAAATCTTAAAACATATCTATTTAAGAAAGCTTTTATCGAAAATAGATAATTTTTTTTAACTATTTCTATGTATATTTAATGTTTTATATCAGTGAACACCAACTAATTTTGTAATTAAGATAATGTAGCTAAACTATGTACCATTTTATTGTAATGCGCATAGAACATTTTATGAATATGCGCAATAGAAATACAATCTATTATTATTATTATTATTATCAAGGTCCTAAACTCGGGTGAAATGCCGAGACGTCAAATTGCTTCAGGAATAGAATGCTCTAATACCTGCATGAATTATAAATTTATTTTCATGTTTATTGATGGTCTTTGGAGGTGAATCGGATTGGATTCCCTTCTTGGGGTTAGCAGTGTTTACGTAAATGTGAATTTTTATTTTATCTAAATTTTATGCTCAAGGAGACATCCTTTTGCAAGCATTATGGTTTCTGGATGCCTTCTTGTCATTATCACCTTACTTATCTATTTATAATCATTCTTTTTATTTATTTTCTTCCGTTTAATCCATCTTTTGTAAATAGAATAGTGGTAATGGCGACAAATAAATATTGATTGAAATATTGATTGATTGATATAATACAAAGAGGTTAATTAACCCTAAGTTAAATATTGATATGCTCCAAATTAGACTAATTTTAGTGCTTAACTGTGTTTGGGACTTCTTGTACGTTTCTTCCACATTACAACAAAGTCCCCGTTCATTCGTAAACATGTCTACTTACATAATTAATCATTTGTCCGGATTTCCAAGCTGGTGCCACGTGTTAATTAAAGTTCTTGTTCCCAAGTAAAAATACCTCACTCTTGTTTGTTGCCTGATAGGCCTTTGCTGCCTCTAGTAACTCTCTCGTTCTGTTATTCCTGTGTTTATCTAGGGTTTGTCCAATACTGGGAATATCAGAATAGGCTATTGGTTATGACAGAGATAGGATATCGTCCCTTGATTGTATTTGTCGGATCCGTCATTTACCAGTCCCTCTTCGCTCATGGTTTGCCAATACAACATATTTGTTTCTATTTTTAAATCTTACAAGATATTGATGAATGCCGCAATAAATTGGCTAACCAATGTGATATTAACGCGAACTGCACGAACACTCTAGGTTCGTACAACTGTCAGTGCCACACTGGTTGGACAGGAAATGGAAAGTATTGCTCAGGTACAATTTTAAGGTATACAGTTCAGGTATAAAGTTTTCTATGACACAAGTTTTTTAGTCATCACAAACAACACAATAATGGCGAAAACCAATTTTGAAAGTAGTATTAACTTGCACCTAACTTCCAAAACAAACCGACCGTTACACATACGTATTCTACTAACTTCTATAACATATATAATGGTCACGCCAAACCATGCAACACCACAAAACTATAGCGCAACACACCAACTACATCTTGCTACGAAGGTTAATGATAATGAAGATCGAATTTCGCTCTTTCAATGTTGTTTCTGACAACATGACAATGAAATTTACTCACATGCAACTCTCAAACCCTAACACTGCCAAACTGCAACAACTTGGACGTAAATGTAATACAATTCAACAATAACAACCTGCAAATATTCCAAGCCTAACCGTAATGGTATGATCATAAACTTTGAATGGCATGGGATGCGATGGTATAGTATGGAAAGTTGTGGTATATGTTACGGTATAGCATAGTATGTTATGGTATGTTATTATGTGGTATATAGTATGGAAAGGTATAGCATAGTATGTTATTGTACGTTATGGTATAGTATGGTATGGTATGGTATGGTATGGTACGGTACGGTACGGTTTGGTAATGGTATGGTATGGTATGGTATGGTATGGTATGGTATGGTATGGTATGGTATGGAAAAGTATGGCGTAGTATGTCATGGGACGTTATGGTATAGTGTAATATGGTATGGGATGGTATGCTATAGTTTGGCATGGCATGGCATGGCATGGCATCGCATGTTATGTTACGTTACGTTACGTTACGTTATTTAAGGGTTAGAGACTGATGTGAGTGTTTTGTTTACAAATACATGCACGAGCTGACTGTACAATGAACGAGAAATTTTCAATACTGAACCAGGCGAAGCCGAGTGCAGTATTGAAAATTTCGAGTTCATTGTACAGTCAGCAAGTGCATGTACTTGTAAACAAAACACGAACTTAAAGTCTCTAACACATTTAATATATTATCTGAGTTCACTGCTTGCATGCAATTATACTGTACGCCTTTTGTAAACAAAACGAAACGAAACGAAACGAAACGAAACAAAACGAAACAAAACAAAACAAAACAAAACAAAACAAAACAAAACAAAACAAAACAAAACAAAACAAAACAAAACAAAACAAAACAAAACAAAACAAAACAAAACAAAATTAAATTAAAACAAAGTAATTCCATTATTAACACATTTTCATCATAAGTTTTTACCAATAGTCTAATTTTAAGTACATTGCAAAATAATTGCGTACAACAGTTTTTAAAACAAGACAACGAATACAATGAAAAACCCGACTAGACTTTTTAAGCAGGAATTTTACACGCGACAAAATCGTGAAAAGTCAGTTTTTGCTTCGTTTATTTACCTTGAAAGATGACAATGCACCAGTTTGTTTGGCTTTTTATACTTTTAGACACTGCATTATGTACAATTTGATTAATTTCGTCTTCACTGACTCGTGTAAACCTTGAACCGACAGCCTTGCGGGAAGCCATTTTCAATAATGCACGTTTTTTATGCGTTATTATGTTATGTTATGTTATGTTATGTTATGTTATGTTATGTTATGTTATGTTATGTTATGTTATGTTATGTTATGTTATGTTATGTTATGGCATGTTATGGCATGTTATGGCATGTTATGGCATGTTATGGCATGTTATGGCATGTTATGGCATGTTATGTTATGTTATGGCATGTTATGTTATGTTATGGCATGTTATGGCATGGCATGTTATGGCATGGCATGTTATGGCATGGCATGTTATGGCATGTTATGGCATGTTATGTTATGGCATGGTATTGTGTGGTATTGTGTGGTATGGTTTAGTGTGGTATAGTATAGCGTCAAATTGTGAGTACTATATGGTTTTGGCCTTGAGATATTGATGAACGCTCTGAAGGACGCTTCAGTTGTCATCCAAATGCAATTTGTATCAATACTCATGGATCATATAACTGTCAATTCAAAAACGGACTCGAGGGGAATGGAAAATTGAATTGCATTGGCATAATGTTTTTTTATGAAAATAATCCATTATTTTCTTTGAGTCAATCATTCTATGTATCTAAAGATTTCTAATGACTAGATTCTTGCAAAAATTCAGATATTGATGAATGTTCTGAAGAGGCTACCAACAAATGTCATTTGAATGCAACTTGTTCAAACACTCCAGGTTCGTATGAATGCGAATGTCGAGCTGGATATCATGGACATGGACGTGTTTGTAAAGGTATACTCTATTGCAGTAAAAGAGTAAATAACTCACTCTAAATATAAATTATTCGTCAGTATATTTTAGACACTGAAGTTAAGCTCAACTAATTTCGAGCCGTAATATTTTTTACTATTTCAGACATTGATGAATGCTCTGAAGGAAACTTCACTTGTCATTCAAATGCAACTTGCATGAATACTCAAGGATCATACAAATGTTAATGTAAGAAAGGATACGCGGGCGATGGAATAAAGAATTGCACAGGTTATTGTTTTTTATAAAACATAATCTTTTAATTCCCTTTAGGTCAGTTATTAACAGCATTAAAATTTGAAAATTCATTAGGGAGTTTAAGCTTCACGTTTCCGCGCAACGGCAAACGGCAGGTTTGAATTTTCTTGGCAAAATTTTCGTTGAACTTTTTGTTTCATATTTTCTTCCTTGTGTCGAAAGAATAATTGTGCATTGCAGTTCATTTAGTCTTTATTACCTGATACCGTAATTAAATTTTTTTCTTTGCCTGGCGTTTACCGTTTGACGTTTGAACGCGAA